TATTTGATTGTCTGTTATTGCTTTTAACGACCAGTGAGGTGGCCTCCTGCAGCGGGGTGCCGGCATGTGGCGTGAAGACATCCGGTGTGTTGACACTAATACATCTTCAATAGAGTCCGCGAGGCGGCTGCCGCGCAAGACAGCGGGTACCATCTGGCAGTAATGGCATGAGCCCGCGAACGAACCAGCTGCACCCGGGTAACCTTAGCGGGCAACCAAAGGGCGCCACCATCGTGTGCGGTTGCACAGTTCGCGAAACGTCCTTTGCACGTCATTCCTTTCGGCTCACTCTCTTGAACCGGGAGCTTAAATGCTTAAATAAGACAACGAGAGGAGAGGATGGTAATAAGTGTGTTTAGCTTGTCCAATAAACGCACTAAGTTGTTTTGGTTGGCCGTGAGGACAACGGGGAGAGGAAACCTAGGGGCTATAACCTGGCTCTTCACTCCTCACGGTGATTCTGGTCGCAGCAAACAGTGCTTTGTACTATCCGCTCTGCCGAGGCAACATCCCACGGTCCTAACGGTGAAGAGTCCTGTAAATTTTTCCTAAGTTCCTGTGCATAAATTTGAGTTGTTGCAACGTATCGAAAAGCGCTGGTCCATCCTTGACAAACAGCAGCAGCCAAGACAAGACAAGACGCGCACCATGCAATAAACCTTCCACTCCCTTCTGTAGCTACAGCAGCTACGCAGCTGAGAGAGCTCTGGTCTAGAGAACAGAGGGAATGGGTAGAAGGTTGAGTTTCACTGGGTTCCTTTACGTGCATCCAAATCTGAACAAACAGGCCTACAGAATTTTCGCCTCCATTGAAAATGCAGAAGTCACAGCTGAGATTCGATTCCGTGGCCTTCAGGCGCAGCCAAGTACCTTAACGAATAGGCCACTACGACGGGGAGTCATGAATTCAAGTTTCCTGATGTTGGATCATGTGCTGCGAATAAGCACTAAACGTTCTTCATGGCTACCTCAAAACGTGAATGTCACTCACCGCTTTTTGATGAATGGCAATACAGTAGGTATTTTGTTTCTTTATGGTTCAACAGATAGGTGCTCCTGTTGCAATTCACCTGGCCAGTGCTCCCTTGAATTAGTTATATCGGGTAAACGCATTAGAGCGAGGAACTTTTGTTTCCTTTCGCGTACTTGAAGGTAACTTCGCTTCAAGGCTTTCATCTTCACCACCTGAGCAGATGATTGGATTGGTGATCCCTTTCCTCTTTCTTCATACTCTGCTTCATGCTCATCACAGTCGCATCCACCATTGCCACGGCCATCAGCAAGCCCATTTTTAGCGCCTGCTCTAAGCTGCCTATAAAGCTTTCTACAATTTAGGTGCGCACAGAATGCCAGGAAACGAAATTTCCAGAGCCTTTTACAATGACGTTCCTCATAATCATAGCTTGGTTCTGCGATGTTAAATTTGAAGAGTTATTATTTATTCAACCTAAATTTTCTATCACACCACCGGAATCTTCCCCTTCAACACTTCGTTCAACAATGTGGTAGCGTCCGAGAGCTAGTAGATGTAAACGGATAGCTAGCCAATAGATATTTATTGTTCTCTTGGGCTGTTCTAGCTATATATTTCGTAGAGAACACGGGCATACAGTAAATTGACGCTGGGGTACCGCGAAATTACCACCTAGGAGCGTTAAATGATGTAACAAACTTGAACAAAATTCTAAACCTTAAATGTACCATTACTATGTGGCAACAGGTAAAATAACACGCTTATTTCTAAGGAATACATAGCTCAATCTGGTTCAAATTTTCAGCGAACATCCCCCAGTGCAGATCTTCTGTAGGATCATGTGGGCTACGCTAAAAATAATATTACACAAATATCCAAATACTCGAAGGTGCGTTGCATGCCGACGCGCTGAAAGGTAGAACCACCACTTCGCGCCTGTTTTAGCACCTCCCCAATGAACATGGAAAATTTCGGCCACAAGTTGCCTGTAAGGGGTACCCTAAGCTATCGCAAGGTATATGACTGGTATTATGGAGAGGTTTTCTAAAGCGGGATAAACCAAAATATTTCGTCAGAAAATCCGTGACTACATCGTGGCACTGGTACCTATTGGGTTAAGCGTGCTGTTTTCAACACTTCTCGAACTACGGTATGCACGGAAATTTGTGCGCGACTGGCAAAGCCAAAGACAAACATGTTGTTGTATTTCTGTGGAGAAACCACAAGGGTTTTGGACTAAAGCGACGCAGAGTGGCTATGTTTGTGACCAGAAGTGACGCTTCACCGCGGGAGAATGACCATACGTTTTCAATATTTCAGCGTGGCAGTAATGTGCACTATTAATAAAAACACTCTTCGCACTTCCTAAGACACAGATTATATGTTTTGAACTATGAAAATTTTAAAACAATGCAAAACAACACTAGGAGTGCTGCACAACGGCCACCACGAGGCGAGGCGCCCGGTACATCTCTGTAAGAGGCACGTGGTGATTGTAAACGGCGTTTTACATCAGTAGTACTTTAAGTCCGAAAGGGAACGTCTTTTTCTCGTAGTCTGCTTGAGCTTTCAAGTTTGAAGGCTAATAACTTCCGTTATCTTGCGCCAATTTTGATAACATTTTTTTTCATTCATCTCAGTAGTCAGCCCTACAAAAACTACAGCGATGGCAAATGCAGCAGAAAAAGCGTCACAAGGATCGTTAACAAAGAAGCCCTGTGACGCCACTCTGCCACATTAACGCCTTACAATGCCCAAACCAACATATTTAGGTATTTTTTTTACGCTCGAACAGTAGCAGACTGAAACAGCCTACCTATTAGTGCACTCAGCAACACCCACTATATCGCATTCATTACATCTTAAACCTAGCCTTGCACAGATACCCTTGTCCGTTCATTAGATAGTTATGTATTCATGATCCTTTCGTTCTGTATATTCTATTTCATTGTTTCACATTTTAAGTACCTATTTCTGTAGTGGTTTATTCATTTTGTTGTCAGTTGTTGTCTCTTTTGAAACCCTCACACTTTTTACTCTTTGTACCTTTCCCCTCCTGGCTGGGCCTTTTCAAAGCCCTCAGTATTTCTAAAAAATAAATAAATAAATAAAAAATAAACAACCACTTCGCTACTTGACATAAAAAGTTATATCACGCCTCATTTGCAAATATCAATTAAGTGATCGTGCGCGTGACTACCACTTTTTAAGGAAGTAGAGCTTTCCATGGTACATTTAATTTTTCAAAATCTTTGCCCTATATATCTTGGACACCCACTGTGTATACAGCAATCATCTTCTCTCAGAAATCTTGCTAATTATAGGTATCTTGTCTCCGTGCGCTGCTCTACAAGTAAGCATGTAAGGAAATCACGTCCCGCCGCGGGGCTCCAGCGCTGATGCCGCTCGACTGCAAGCCCGAAAGCCGCGAGATCGAATCCCGTCTGTGTCGCAACATTCTCGATGTAGGAGAAAATGTTTGAGTCCCACCTACTTATATTTAGTTGTACGTCAAAGAACACCAGGTAGCCTAAATTTCTGAAGCCCTCCACTACGGCGTCTCTCACAATGAAATGGTAGTTTTGTTTGTTAAACCGCATGCACATAATATTATTATTAGATAAATAACGTGCTAGCAGTGTTCAGTGCCCCACAAAAATTGCCTTAACTAGAAGTGGCACAATGTAACACTGGCAGGATCACAGGTACGAAAATGCCCATTCAAAGGGGTATGAAGAATGGCGCCATCCTAACGTCTTTGACTGATTATGTTACATCGTGACAAAATCATTTTGACATAAACAATCTTTTTTCGCTTTGTTTTCACGCTAAATTAATGAACCAACTAGAAGAGTTCACTGTGCTCACTTCAGCTGGTGTTGAGCCATTTACGCGTTATTCGTATGTCGGCATTGTAGTCTCTACCGACGGCAAGTTGTTTTTCTACTCATTCAATTTATCTGCTTTCAAGATGTCATAATTTAAAAATCACAGTAAAGTTTCAAAATCATGCCTCACGTGCCTCGTAGAGTTCTTTATAGTTTGCATGTCATATAAAAAAAGCACCCCTTCTTTAAAATTGTATATTGGAATGGGATGTTCAGAGTGCAGTGGTGTCTGTCACATAACTTGCCTTTATGTGTAAAACGAAATTGTTTTATGCGCATGTAAAAGTGAGACCTACAGTGCAGTCCTGCCATCGCCGTCTTGTAGCAAAAACTGCAATTCTAGTTGTCGACCTAGGGAAAACCAAACTAAATGAGAAAACTTCACGGCTTCACCGCAAAGGCGAAGCAGTGAACGTGATAGCAACAAATGGGAAGGTCACGTGCAGAAAGGCAAGCGAATCGAAACATGCCCCGTGTTTCTCACGCACAATGTACGCGCGAAACGTACTCATAGGCACAGGTGAATGCGAATAAGCGTCTCAGTTGTTCCTTCGCTGTGTCTGAAAAGTGTGCTCTTTTCGCAAAGAGAGACTGTGCAATGATTGCAGTTGCCTCTGAGAGCCCAATAACTACAACATATTTGTTCCGGTGAAAGCCAGAGGCCAGCCAAAGCGTACGATTCTCCCCTCCGCGAGATATGGGCGCGCCACCGAGCGTCCACCTTCTACTCTCTGTGGGGCAGATGACGCAGGGGAAGTGAGAGCGCGCGCCGCCACGCGCTTGTTGCGCTATCTTGCTTGTATTGCTGAAAACACAATAGTTATTCTCCCCCCCCCTCTAGATGTCCATCACCAGCGGGAATACGTAGATATAAAAAATTTCGGTTTGAACGTTGGAGGACGTGCTTCTCCGTAGAGCAGTGGTTAACGCATCGCATTGCCGTCTCAGAGGTTTCACGTTGGATTCCCTGTGTTGGAGTCTCAATATTTTTTCTTTCTCGTGGTTCCTATATATAGATGTGTATACATATACGGTGAGCGACGGCGGCGTCTTTGTCGACGATGACACTGACGCCAGTGGCAAAATGTTGCGAAGAGTGTCCATCAAACAACACTGACAAACACTTCAATGGAACGCAGAATGGGGCCTTCCCCTGGTGGTGGCTGCGAAGCACATGGTGCCCCTGTGGGTGGCCGGGACGGCTGGCTTCCTGGCCGTAGTTCTGGCACACTCGCCCCTATCACCGCTGCCCGTGCCGCCGTTGCCCCACACTCCCGTCGGACGGTTCCCACCCAAGCAGACAGTGATCAAGGTACGACTGCGTAGCGAGCTTTCTCTTTTACTGTAACTGTAGAGCTGAACGTGTTTTTCTTCCAAGGAAGCCGTGCCTAATAATACCATTGTTGATGAAACTGTATGAAAAACCCCTTCGGGTCAACCAGAACTAGTCTGGGAAATAACGAGGAAAAACGGTGCAGTAGACCAACACAGAGAATAGAGCAATGTGTCGTCTTGAGTCACCCTGTCTTCTGGGCCCTTTTGGGTAATACGGCACTGTCCTGTTGAGTAAGTCTGCTTGACCGTGTCGTCTTTCCCGTAATGCGTCATACCAGTTCACGTGCGACTAATCAACTAGCCCAATCTTCAACAATTAGGTTCTTCGGGCACGAATTACGATGCACCACCTGCAAATCTGCCAAATTCGCATGGCATGATTCCTCCTCACTTAGTATCACAATTGACGAGAAAATGAAACAATTTTTAGTTGAAGTGGGTTTCAGTAACTACATTTATACATCACGTAACCATATATGTAAATATTCTTAATTCAAAGAGCTTCAACTTTTGTTTGAAGATTGTGAATCAGAACCACGATGTCTGTACAGCTTGTATTTAGATGTATACGTTTCGAACACGCAAATAATATCTTGACGTGTGTCGTGGAGCGATGAACGTCGAACGATCACGGGGCATAGTAGGGTCTCCATTAAAGTGACCCACTGCAGCAATACGCAACACATTCAAGTTAGCGGACCGATAGTTGTCCATGAGGAACTCTGAATGAAAGTTCACAATGAGTTTCAAAACATTAGAAGAAAGACACGGTAGGTGCCGCGCCTCCGAAATAGATGCGTTCAAACCTACAGAACACCGCTGAAAGTTTTACGGGAGTACTTTTTGAAGCATTCACGTTATAGTACTCTGAAATGCTCTGCAATGTGGACGACGTATCAGAAAAATGCTTTTCACTTGCGGGAACATTGCTTGCGGCATCTCTGGTGATGTCGTTATATGAAAGTATGCTACTTTAGATTGATAATATGGAATCTAGGTTGCATAACTTGCTAACATAACTCTCCGAATGAACGGTAATGTACATTCAATGATGCCTATGTGTACGTCGCAATTAATGTGACAGTAATGAGATGCAGACAAGAAAGACACCTGTTTAGCCCTGCCATGGTCATTGGATTTTGATAAATCTAAAATGCTACAGTTTTTGGTACTGTGAAATATATTTGCATGGTAATAAAAATTGAGATTTCAGAGTCGGGCCCAAGCCCTTCACAACGGCGCCTACCACAGCCCGAGTTGAAGTGGAACACTAAACTTCACAAAGCAATCAACGTATGCTTTGTGATGGCTTTAAGTTTAACGAAAATGAGTGAAAATTTGTGAAAGTTTCAAGTTTAACAACTTTAGCTGCGTACCACTGTGTTTCTGGAAACAATCATTACACACCGAGATTTTTTTTTTAAAAGTCAGTGTGATTATAGTCGTCCTTATTGTAATCTTTTTTAGACCACTTTGGTCCACTTCGGCTTCTTCCAATAACCTTCATTTACCTAATCCTGCTGTGTAAGCTGATTTCATTTCATTCCTTCGTACTTTCCTCTTTCGGTACGAAACGCACTCACTGACTTTCCTGAAGGCGTTTCGTACGAACCATTCTGTTGCCCTCCTAATGCCCACTAGCTCTCTGTTCTAGCATCCTTGGTTCGTTTCTTCCGTTCGATGAAAACAAGACTTTCTCTGTGTTATCTTCTTACACGTACTGCGATCACTTGTTGTTATTCTTGTCTCTTTATGTCCCATTGCACGCTGCGTGGTTCTCAGAGAGAAAGAATAAAACTCTTATTAGAATTTTCTGCATAAGTAGATAGGTGAGTGCCATCCGTATACTCCGGGATCCCATTGGCATGTTTCGCTGTCCTCGAGGGCCTGTTCGCTAATCGAATATGGCCTGAACAGAGCTGCCCCCCACCCTTCCATGTTGTGTTGTGTACAAGGTTGCAAAGGGCGATTGTGTTGACTCGCATGCCATGTGGTAGATGGTGGCTGATTTATTGGCGCAGAACCTTCACTTTGGTGTGCGCGTGTTGGAGAGTATCTTTGACGGTATGTACGATTCAGGGTAGGACAGGGCCTTTGCGTGACACCACGCTAAATGTGATTCCTTACTGAGCTTTGGCGCTGGGTTGGAAGTTTCTGTCGTTCGAGTATTTGGTATTGCAGATTTTCGGTATACGCGAGAAGCGGAACCATATGCAAAGCTGAGGGTGGATGCGATATGCCGAAGTAGAAGGTCTGGAAGAATATTTGCCGGGCCGAGGTATGAGCGAGCTTATTGCCTCTAACTCCGCAGTGGCCGGGTATTCATATTAGCTGCTTCCAGTCTCCCTCTGAAAGAGGGGCCGAAGCTAAGTAACGATTAGATATGTGAGGAGTAAGGAATCGGTGCGCAATGGGATCAATGTAGCCTTTACAGAATTTTCGGTAGGCTGCTTGTGAATCTGTAAGAATGAAGGTGGACTAGGAGTTTCGTAGGGGGGCGATTCCTGCTTCTTCCATGCTAGCTGTATCTGTGTCTTTTGCTGATATACAGCCGAGCTATTTTCCTTGATGAATGATGGTTGCCGTGTATTTGCCGTTTACTGGTCCAGCTGCGTCGACAAAAAAGGCGCCCTCAGTGTCTGAGTACTGGTGGTGAGCCCATGCCCGACGTCAGCGTTCGTGGAACTAAACTTACATATTGCGTAGTAGTAGGTTTATGATAAAGCCCTGCCCCCATTCATGTTCGATACGTAGTTTCCCCACTCTGTGAAAGGGAACTTCGATGCCAAGTTCTGATAATATTTCCGCTCTGTTCTATTGATGGCGTGACGAATGGCTCGACTCATATGATGTGAATGGAATAGTTCAGTTGTGGCGTTGTGCAGCCTTATTTGAAGCAGATGGTCCGCGAGTGTTCTCGGGGGAAGGTTCAGAGCCTTCTTAAGAGTCACACGTTTGACTCAGTCCATTTCGTGCTCGTCTGCTTTGAAGAGCATCAGGTTAGAAAAGCTATAAGTTAAGGTATGCGACTGATTACAAAAGCCTGAAGGAGCCGCATTATGTCGTGTTCTTTCATTCCTCAATGTTCGTTAGCCATATGACTAATCATACAAGAAAATGTAAATAGGTAGCTTTTAGTTTATTTATTGAAAATGAGTTGCGCCGATTATTGAAGTAGACATCAAGAATTCGGATGGTTTCAACTGCTTTTTGGGTTCAATTGAGTGATACATTGAGGAAGGTAGTTTCAGAAGCCTTACTTTTATATGCAAGAATTTCGGATATTGTGTGGGAGCACTCCAAACGGCTCTTGTACCCTATCTCTTCTACGAAAGTGGCAGCCTGTGAGGGGACGCTTTCTATCTGGCCCAGATTGCCAGAACGGCTCAGATTGTAACTTCGTCAGCATAGCTGGCATAGCGTACTTCTCTAATTCGATTTAGTGCCTCTGGGAGGTGCATAAGGGCAATATTGAAGGGAAGTGGGGAAATGACTGCTAAAGAGGTTGCTTGGGCATGTTGGTACGACATATTGAAAACAAAAACAGCGCGAAAAACGACTCACCATACGAGGAAGGACACAGACAAAGCGCTGACTTACAATAAAAACTTTCTTGTTCAAACCACGCATACATATTTATGCAGTGGAACGAAAAAAAAGAATCAACACAAGTGATAGTCGAAAAAAACTGAAAGAATGAGGATTATAAAACTACTTCTCATAGCTCGTGCAATAAACCAGATAAGAAGACATCTTCCTTTTCTGAGAGCGCAACCAAAGGCCTACTCACGCATGCGTCACCCAGTCTAACAGTCTCAAGGGTCTCCAGTATTTCACGGGTAAGCTGGTCCCGATGACGCTTGACAACTGCATAAGATTGAAAATCAGAAGCGCACCCTCAATGTCGGAAATGAATACCTAGGTGGCCAGACACTGTTGAAGAAACGCCGTGAGCGTGTTCTTTCAGACGCTCATTCGAAAATCGTCAAGTTTGCGCTATGTATAGTTATCCACAGGACAATGGTATGGAATACACGGTGGTATGACCACATGGAACGAAGTTTTCCCATGCTTAGTTGGGAAGATGGTGGTCTCCCTAGCCCTTCTGTTGATGGCTTTGAACAGGCTAGCCAGCTTCACAGGGGCTGAAAAAAGACATTCGGAGTCGCATCTGCCAGCTATTTCCTTTAGTTTGTGGGCCACACCGTGGATGTTAGGAATGACAGCACTCTTCTCAGTTTTCGGCCTACTTTTGCGCGTCTGAGCAGGCAACCTTGGACTCATTTTTTGTTCTTTGAGGAAACATTCAGCCACAGCGGTCAGCACGCGAGACGGGTATTGGTGAGGCGTTCTACCTGATATTAAAATCTGACCTGGATCTTGTAGTAGCACGACTTCCCCAAAGCGTGAGCTTAGCTCACGCTTTTGGGAAGTGGTAAAAGGGGCGTTTGCCCTTTTTACCACTTTTGACTGAGCCGACTCGAACAGTAACAAAGACTTATTGGCTCGTGTGGCATACTGCCAACAAACATGGTCATAATCAACAGTAAGAACAGTAAGGCTCAAATCTAGGAAGCGGAGAGTTCCCTCCTCAGGAACTCCATGAGTTAAAACAAGAGGCGACATTCACGCACAAAAAACGTCTAGAATACTGTTCATTGATACATTTACACCTGAACTACCAGCTTCAAACAATACAAGCAAATCTTCAACGTAGCGGAAAACTTTTGCAACATTGAACTCAGGTAAGCATTCCTGAAGCGTGCGATCAAGCCCAGCCAGAAATAAATCACTCTATATGGGTGCCAAGCACGAGCCAATACAAACTCCTTTTTGTTGCAAATAAACATGATCATCCTAGTTGCATAAGTAGACCTTCGGTAAAAGCCAAAGAGTTTCATGAAGCCCTCCACAAAAATACCCGCCATACCATGATAGGCAATGACACTGAATTTTTCAATACAGTCGCAGATGCAA